TTAAGATTATTTTAAGTACAAAATCATTGCATGGGATCTAACCATAGCGCGGGACGGGGCTAAAATTGTGCAAATCTGCGTTACCCACTTAGCAAAATGTGGATATTGGCTACGTAGTTCAATGTCCACGTTTTCAATGTCCACAGAGGGCGTATCGCATTCGCCAATCACGAAAAACGGGGCCGTGACCATAGACTTCTATAGACGGAGCATTAGCTACGACTCTGGGCAAGAGGGGTCTGATAATCGGGGCGCGGGAGGCACTCATCTGACATCGACTCTTTCCGGTGAGATTCGGGAATATTCGGTTCATATTTCCATCGTATCGAAGACACCTAACCTGTTAAACGGACTTTTATGTACAATTGTGTTGTTACTCACAGGAAATATAAAAGTGCAAACATGAGCTTTTGTATTGTTTACAAGTGCAAAAATCGACACAGTAAGAAAAATGCAGAACAAATAGAGATGGAAAAAATTTTTAATCGGAAAATTTCATATCATTTGTAAGTAACATATTGTAAATATATGTTATGTTAATTAGAAATTTATAATATTGAATATAATAATTATATGTATTGTATGTATATATAATATATATATCTATTTAGATGTACATACATGGTCTGTCCTTAAAGTAGTCGGACTGAGTCAATTACAAAATATTTATTGACAGAAATAATATATGCGCTCAATATTCTTCAAAGTAGGACCCTTCTGCATCCACACACCGCTGGCAGCGAGATTTCCAGCTCTCATACGCTTCCCTGAAGGCGGCAGCCGGAATGCTGTTGAGCTCCCTCGTCACGGCCTGTTGTAACGCTTCCACCGAGCCGTGATGGTGTCCTTTCAGGGCCAGGTATGGGCCACATGTTGTGTTGGGCCAGGTATGGGCCACAGGGAATTTGTGCCACAAGGACAAACCCTTAATGCAGTTTTTTACGTGGAGGTCCTTGAACGGCTGAGAAAACGCATCATCCACAGCCTTCCGCGTGGCGACGTACCTGGCCCAACACAATATCGCAACCCTGCCTCAGCCACCCTACAGTCCCGACGTTGCCCCACCAGACTTTTTCCTCTTTCCCCGCCTCAAAACCGCCCTGAAAGGACACCATCACGGCTCGGTGGAAGCATTACAACAGGCCGTGACGAGAGAGCTCAACAGCATTCCGGCTGCCGCCTTCCAGGAAGCGTATGAGAGCTGGAAATCTCGCTGCCAGCGGTGTGTGGATGCAGAAGGGTCCTACTTTGAAGAATATTCAGCGCAAGTATTATTTCTGTCAATAAATATTTTGTAATTGACTCAGTCCGACTACTTTAAGGACAGACCATGTATATTTATATATGTATATTGTTTTAGATTTCCTAAAGATATAGAAAGACGACAGAAATGGCTTAAAGCCTTACAGTTAGAAAATTATGAACCTAAAAAATCAGCTGCAGTTTGTTCCAGTCATTTTAAAGATACAGACTATGAAATAAATCATGCAAATCGCAAGTTAAAAAAAGATGCTGTTCCACATGTACGTATATATTAGGGTGGTCCTTATTTACTCTTGATCAAAATTTTG